ACTTTGTACAGAAGGTCTGTTGGGATTAACAAATAAAGGAGTTCAGCATCAAACTCATGCGGTATACGTTTAAGATGGGTAAAGCCAGCTAAGATGCTTTTCATTTACTACAGCCTGGAGTATTCTAGGGATTGGGGCAGGCAAGGGGGTTCACAAAAAGTGAACAAACCAACCCCTTCTCAGCAATATGTCACTGTGGCCAATGTACACCTTCACACAGGACTCCTTTAGCTGTTCCCATCAAGAAGTTCAAACACCAGTCACTTGCTATGAAGAGCAAGCAGTGAAATGGCAAGTCCCTGTACTTGGCCTCTGTGGTGGACCGAATCCAAAATTTATATTTTGAATTCTTTTAACCCCCAGGACCTCAGAACGTGACCTTATTTGGAAATAGGCTATTTGCAGATGCAGTCAAGTTAAAACGAGGTCATTAGGGTGAGCCCTAATCATTTATGACTAGCATCCTTATAAAAAAGGGAAATTTGCACACACAGGGACATACAGGGAAAACGTTAAGTGAAGATGAAGGCAGAGATCGGGGTGACGCATCTACAAGCTGAGGAAAGTCAGAGATGTGCCAGCAAACCACCAGCAGCAGGGAGAGGGGCCTGGAACAGACTCCCCCTCACGGCCTCAGAAGGAACCCACCCTTCTGACATCTTGATCTTAGAATTTTAGCCCCTGGAACTGTGAGACAGTACATTTCCTTTTTTAAAAAATATTTAGTGCTTCCCTGGTGGCGCAGTGGTTGAAAGTCCACCTGCCGATGCAGGGGACACGAGTTCGTGCCCCGGTCCGGGAAGATCCCACGTGCCGCGGAGCAGCTTGGCCCGTGAGCCATGGCCGTTGAGCCTGCGCATCTGGAGCCTGTGCTCCGCAACGGGAGAGGCCACAGCAGTGAGAGGCCTGCGTACCGCAAAAAAAAAAAAAAATTTATTTATTTTTGGTTGCGTTGGGTCTTCGTTGCTGTGCACGGGCTTTCTCTAGTTGCGGCGAGTGGGGGGCTACTCTTTGCTGCGGTGCGCGGGCTTCTCATCGCAGTGGCTTCTCTTGTTGCAGAGCACGGGCTCTAGGCACGCGGGCTTCAGTAGTTGCGGCACACAGGCTCAGTAGCTGTGGCTCGCGGGCTCCAGAGCACAGGCTCAGTAGTTGTGGCGCACGGGCTTAGTTGCACCCTGGCATGTGGGATCTTCCCGGACCAGGGCTGGAACCCGTGTCCCCTGCATTGGCAGGCGGATTCTTCACCACTGCGCCACCGGGGAAGCCCGAGACAGTACATTTCTGCTGCTTATGCCATCTAGGTTGTGGTACTCTGATAGGGCAGCTCTGGGAAAAGAACAGTCTCATCCAGATTGAAGCTGCAAGTGTGGTGGAAATACAGCACGGGAATTCCTTTCTCCCTGCACTTCTGTGACCAAGTTGAAAGCTCCCTGCTGTGAGAAACTCCTGTGCTAACTGAAGAATGTCGTTCGCCCTCTGCCTCTACAAGAATGAAGTTACCAGCCACTGCAGTCGCTGACCTTTGACACACCCTGAAAGGAGTTCAGGGCAGAGATCAGGAATGAGGCCCTCTGAGCTCTGGAAAATCTGGCAGAACAGGCCTTCAAATAGTTAGATATTTTCAGGAGAAAATTTTATGAACCCAATTTCTTGCATCTTCTCATACCTATAAAAGCACTAAAATCACTAACGGAGATGTCAGCTCCTTGTGACTAGCAGCAGGCTTCTACCGATATGTGTGCTTGATTGTATGGACCCCCGTTACCAGAATCATATATTTGCTGACCTCCCCCCTACCTCTTCCGAGCAGCTCCTCCAAGCTATCTGAAAGCCGTCTCCTGGGCTATAGTCCTCAGTAAGCCCCAAATGAAACTGAACTCACAGCTCTCATGTTGCACGTTTTTTTTTAAATAAATTTATTTTCTTTTATTTATTTTTGGCTGAGTTGGGTCTTTGTTACTGTGCGCGGGCTTTCTCTAGTTGCAGCAAGAGGGGGCTACTCTTCGTTGTGGTGCGCCGGCTTCTCATTGCGGTGGCTTCTCTTGTTGCGGAGCACGGGCTCTACGCGTGCAGGCTTCATTAGTTGTGGTTCACAGGCTCTAGAGCGCAGGCTCAGTAGTTGTGGCGTATGGGCTTAGCTGCTCTGTGGCACGTGGGATCTTCCCAGACCAGGGCTCGAACCCATGTCCCCTGCATTGGCAGGTGGATTCTTAACCACTGCGCCACCAGGGAAGCCCTGTTGCATGGTTTTTATTTTTGTTTTTCAGTCGACACCTGTTACCTGTATTGCAGCAATACGAGGGAGGCAGGAACAGAAGGAGAGGCAGGGGTATTCTCAAGCTTTTAGACAAGGAGGGTTGTATGTGAGCCACTTTGAACTTTGACGAGAGGCCTGGTGGAGTGGAAGAAGCTTGTGCTAGAGGGGCTGAAGCCTGGGTTCTGGTCTGTGCTGTTCTCCTCTTGGTCTCAATTCCTGCATCTGTAAAATGGGCTGGGTCCTCTGAACCACTGGCTTTTCTGAGGGACTTTCTTCCCCATAGTAGATGCTCAGTAATATCTGTTCGCACTTTAGATTTACCCAGCGACTTTTGAGCAGGGGGGATGGTCACTTTTCCTTAAAGAGACAGGGAACTGACTTGATTAAGGCCTCTTTGCTGGTAAGAAAGAGCCACACCTCAAACCCACACTTTTTAACCATGTCCTGCTGCTCTGAGATCAGCAATAACAGCAGTCACCCTTTTACCCAGCGCATACTCTGTGTGATTTACCAGGCTAAGCATTTTACATGCAAGATCTTAATCTTCATTTAAACCAGCAAGGAAGGTATTATTATTCCTTTTTTACAGAAGAGGAAACCAAAACTCTGAGGGTTGGGTAACAGGCTCAAGGTCACACAACGCAGTACGTGGCAGAGGTGAAGTTTCACCTCTTTCCAGGTGAAGTCTGGAGCCCATCCCCATTCTCTCAAGCACCTGCTACCACCTCTCTGCTCCTTTAAGATAAATTCTGAGCTGAAGGTGAAGATTGGGCCAGCAGGTCAGCAATCTAGTCTCTGACTGAGCGAAGTTCCGTGGGGTCAGTACCATATTTTCTTGAATGACGAAACCACGGTAGTCCACTTATTTGCATTTGCTACTCATTCACACTCTGACCACGAGCTCAACACTGGGTACTAATCCGAGGGCACAAAGTAAGGCTTTCCCCCCCCTTCTCATATCAAAGCAATACATGCTTATTGTGAAAAATTGGCAAAATACAAAAAAGTATAGTTCCTCAAAAAATTAAAAATAGAATTCCTATATGATCCAACAATTCCACTTCTGAATGTATGCCCTCCAAAATTAAAAGCAGGGACTTGAACAGGTATTTGTACACTCACGTTCATAGCAGCATTATTTACAATTACTAAAAGGTGGAAGCAACCCGTGTCCATCCATGGATAAATGGATAACAACAACAAAAATACATACAATGGAATATTATTCAGCCTTAAAAAGGAAGAAAATTCTGACACATGCCATGGCAAAGATGAAGCTTGAAGACATCATGCTAAATGAAACAAGCCAGCCACAAAAGGATAAATACTATATGATCCACTTATACGAAGTCCTAGAATAGACAAATTCATAGAGAAGGAAAACCACTTTCCAGGGACTGGGGTAGGGGAGATTGCAGAGTTAGTGTGTTCAATGGGTACAGAATTTTGTTTTGCAAGATGAAAATTCTCTAGAGAGGGATGGTGGTGACGGTTGCACAAAAATGTGAACATACTTAACGCCACTGAACTGGACACTTGCTTAAAATGGTAAATTTTATGTTCTGTGTATTTTTACCACAAAAAAGTATAGAAAAACAGGGAAAAAAATCACCTATGACATTTCAGTGCAGCTCTATTGGTAGGCTGGCACAGTGTCTTCTGAGTCTTTTTCTAATTTTAGCCTTTTATAGGTCTTTCTTTACAGCTACCTCTCTCGTGCATTACTGGAAGATGTTTTTACATTGTTATAGGACCCAAAGGGGCCATTTTAAGCTATGCCATCATACGTGAAGCCCTGATGTTTACACATATTATATTCCATGTTGTGGCCTGGTAGGCAAGACTGCTAGGAAAGACAGAACTCACAGAACACAATCATGGGGACTCTGGCTCTGAGGACCCTTAAGGTATCCTACTTCCATTTCCTGCTGCTGAAGGATCATTGAGAGGTTATCACACTTCTGCTTAAAATTCTCCAACATCCAGTCTCACAACTTGGGGACAGCTCATTCCATTTTTGCAGTCACACTCATCCAACCTACTCTCCTCATTTTACAGACAGAAAAAAAGGAAAGCCATAGACCTCACTCTCAGAAAGCAGATGTCTTCTCTAATTTGTGACTTTCTCTCCAAATAGTATTCTTTACAACAGGCTGCAAACTGGCAGTGTGTGGGGTAAACCTGACCGGTAGATGAATTTTATTTGGCACAAGTTTTACAAATCAAGATTTTTTTTGGTAAAAGTCCAGAACTCCAGGTTCTGTTGAAATGTGAGAACTGACCACACTGGGCGGCATTTCCACTCGGCCACAGCTGGCAGCAGCTGCCCGGTACACGCTCTCTACCTTGCCAAAGGCCCCTGCACTCTGTTCTCTCCAAAGAGGCTCAGGTCTAATTTAGAAATCCCCACTGGCCCTGAAGCATACAAGGTTGATTCCTGACTTTAAACTTTCAGATTGAGAAATGCGCTCAGGATCGGTTTCATTCATCACTGACAAGGCTGTGCCACCGACTGTGCTGGGGCACGCCCGCAGGGTCGGGCCTTAACCAGGCGTGAGGGCATCTGCACAGATCCAGCGACCTTCCATTCAGGGCCGACCACTGCCCGCGGACTACGGCCCAGCACCCAGGCCAGCACTGGCCTCCGGGTTCCGCTCCCGACTCGTCATACACCGGCAGGGCAGCAGGCTGGCCCCTGCGGAACGCCGCGTAGTCGTCGGTACCGCGCGCGGGCGACACCTACCTCGTCTGGCTGGTGAGGCACTCGGCAGGCGCCCAGTCGGGGGCGGAATCGCACGGTTCCCACCAGCAGGCAGCGAGGCTGCGGGAGCTACCAGCCGGGAGGACGGCCCCCTCACCGCGTGGCCGGCGCTGCCATGGCGACGGCCCTCCCCAGACCCCAAGCACCAGCACTTGCGCCAGGGGTCGTGGAGCCCCGGCCTCGCTCAGCTGGAGCTCACGCATGCGCACCGACACCCAGAACCCCCTGATACCTGGCGGAGATGGGTCGAACCACTGCGCGAAGGGGAGAGAGAACCTTGGAAAGGCTTGAGAATGGATGGAAGGAGGAAGAAAAGGCCAAGATAGGACCCCAGATTGGACTTGACTCTTAGGTATCAAGACTGTGGAATCCACCAGGGGCAGTGGGTTGACGCCGACTCCGCTCCGAGGTTCTTCGTGACCTTCTATCCCCTCCGCTTGTAATGGGTGGGCCCGGAAGGGCGGGCTCATGGAAGTTGCGCAGGCGCAGTGGGGCCGGCAGCATGGCGTCCAGGCCCAAGCGGCGTGCCTTGGACGGTGGGTTTTCGGTTCCGCGCGATGAGGACGAGGATGATGAACTCGAGGATGAGGACGAAGACAACGAAGACAGTGACGAAGAGGAGGATGAAGACGACGAGGTCGTCAATGAGGTGAGAAACACGCGCGACCCCGGTTTGGCTTATGTCTGGGAAAAAACTTTCCAACAACCAAAACCATGTGAGTGTGTGAGCTGCTTGGAGTAGCGACTTCCCCGTACCTGAGGGTCCTTAAGCAGAAACTGGAGGTGAGAAAAGGTTCTCACTGAGGTTCCACTTCGGTCTTTTACATATTGCAGCCACAGAAAGTTATTTTCAAAAGTCCTGTCCCGGCCGGGTGCGTGGGCCCTCCCACCGCCGCAACGGCACCGTCCTCGGTGGCCTTTTTTAGTTCTCAGGCTAAAGCCCCAAATCCTTCTGGGCCGCCGGGGGCCCCGAGTTCATCCTCTGCCCTCCCCGCGCAGCCCCCCCGCCTGCCTCCCTCATGGCGGCCGCCTTCCCGTTTCTCGAAGGCCAGCCTCCTTCTCCTCTCTGCGCGCTGCGTTTTTCCTGCAGTGTTTTTCCTTCCTTGGTCAGATCTCAACTAAGCTGTCTTTTCTGCTCCTCAGACCAAGTCCTGGTGATACGTTCTGCTAGAACTGGCTCCTACCGTAGAGCCTGGCATTAGAGGTAGTTAACACTTGTTGAATGAATAATTAGGACGGAAAGGTCCTGAAGACCCCGGAATGGCTAATAGGTAGCCCTGAACTTAACACCCGCCGGGCAGAGTTGGTAATTTATGCCCCTGATCCTAATCTTTGCCATTTCTCTAAATGTTACCTGAAAACTGGGTTCACCTCTTGGTGGGTGATCGAGCCAGTAAGCACAACCAAGCTGAAGATTAGAAGGAGGAAGGATTTCTTACTTGCAGCAAAAGTAAGGAGAACACCGGGGGTCTTTCCCCAAGCAGTGTCTCCCCCAAACAGCAGCGCTGCTGTTTTAAGCTGAGGGTACGTGCCTATTCATGAGGGGGCTTGAGCAGAGGCGAATTCAGCATAAAATTGGGGCAAAGGTCAACGGAGTCCAAGCTTTAGCTGATTGAAGTCCGGAGGGTCAGCATCATCATTCGGTCCTCCACCTGGGTGGGGGCCTTAGTTCCTGCAGAACTCAGATATTACGGATATCATTTGACGAGGAGCTAGAACTCTCTTATGTCAAGAAAGCCATTCTTCTTTTTCTCAGGGACCCTCTAACGTATCTGCTTACGTAAATGGTTGCCAAATTCACCAGCTGCTCAAATCCAAAACCCGAAAGTTAACTGTAATTCCTCCCTTTTCCTCATCCCGCATCAGTAAATTCTGTTGGCTTTACCTTCAGTATCCAGACGTTTCTCATCAGTGATTCTGCAACAGTCAAAGTCCACCCTTCCACCATCTCTTGCCTGGACTTCTGTAGTAACTTTTAACTGGCATGCCTTTTCCCGTTCTTGTTCCCCTACAATCTCTCCTCCACCCACAGCAGAAAGATCTTTTAAAAATGTAGGTATACGGACTTCCCTGGCTGTGCAGTGGTTAAGATTCCTCGCGCTTCCATTGCAGGGGGCATGGGTTTGATCCCTGGTCTGGGAACTAAGATCCTGCGTGCCGCACTGCGCGGCCAAAAAGAAAAAATGTAGATCTGTTCTCACTTCCCTGCTCTGACCGCTCCAATGGCTTCCCATTTCATTTGTATGAAAATCCAAAGTCCTCATGGTTATTGGACAGAGAGACAGCTAATATGGCAGGATCAGAATAAGGAAGAGGGTGATGGGGGAATAAAGTCAGAGATAAACATGAGCAGGGCAAGCATGGGTGCAGGATTAGTGCTGTGACTGTGGTGTGGGTATATAATATATTTTCCGTGGAACAGAGCTTTCCCTTACAAAGCAGCTCTTTACTTTGGCCCCTTGCCTTAAATGCAGTCTCACCGTTTTTTATTTAGATCTTTGACTGGCTTTTGCTAACTTCGGGTTATAGAACTCAGCGCTTCTTGCGTTAACATGGATAATATATCAGTTTGCCAGTGGTTGGAAATTTGTGTAGTAACCATCACTGATGATAGTGTAAGAAAATAGGCACTTACATATACTGCTGGTGGGACTATAAATTGATGCACCCTTTTTGGAGGGCCATTTGACAACATCAGAACTTTAAAATGTGTATAAATTCTCTGATTCAGTAATTCTGCTTGTGAGAATTTACCCTCCAGCAATAATAGCAATACTAATAATACATGATTTAGGATCCTCAAGGACTGATCTTATTTAGCACTTAAAAGCCTTTAAGGTTTTTTTTTTTGGAGTGAAGTAATCCTTACATTTATTTATGGAATATTTCAGTGGCATTGCTTCTTAGAGTCTGTTATTGTTGTTTTACAGAGATAGATCAGGGAGCCTCGCTACACACACCTTTTAGTTACTTGTACTCACCATATTTCCTCCTGCCTCAGGGCCTTCGTCTGTGCTGTGCCAGGAGCTCTTTTTACTGGTCCTAGGTTCCCAGCTCAAGTGTCACTTCTCTAAGGGAAGCCTTTCCTGAATTTCCAACCTCCTATTTCTTAAGCTGTTATAGCACCATTCCACCTGTGTTTTATAGCATGCATAGTTGTAAGCCTATATTTATTTCCATGCTATTTCCTTAATGTCGGTATTCCCACCTAAACTATAAGCTCCAGGAGGGCATGACCATTCATGTCTACGTTGCTCACCTTTTCATCTTGAGTGCCTGGCACAGTGCTTGGTACAGAGGGGTACTCAGTAAATTCTTGCCCAGTGAATGAAGCGTGGCCTCAAATCCATGGGCTGAATCAAGCTCTAGGCAATGCCAAGGACTTTTGAAGTGATTTTGTTCTTTGCTCACTCTTACTGTAGTCAGGTAAATAATAATTTCTCATTTGCTTTATCCAGAACAGACTTTCTCAACATCAAAACTAGGTCACTCTGAATGCTTTGTTCTTCTCAGGCTTTTGTTTCAAATGAGGAGATGGTGTGAAGGTGCTTTGTCATCTGTGCAGATGGCAGTCTTGGCAATGTTTGCTTATTTTGAAGCCTAGGCAGTTATAGTTCTTTTGGTAACATTTTCTTCTTCTTGTCCTTTTTCTGGCATGTTCCATAGATGGAGATAGAGCCAAAAAGAATGAGGTGGGGAGGGAAAATAATGCCTGAATTATCTTAGTGAGTTATGTATGATGACCTATTTTGTGTGTCATTTACAGGAAGTGAATATTGAATTCGAAGCTTATTCTATCTCAGATAACGATTACGACGGAATTAAGAAATTATTGCAGCAGGTATTGTCTTTTATTCACTACACACACATTTGCTCTTCTAAGAAATTCCAGGCCATTCGATATAAGCTCTGTCAGATTTCAGTTTTTCTATTTTAGAATTCCCATTCCTACCCTCTCCACTTTGCCTGGAAGGAAGAATTGTTTTCTTTTCCAGGGCTAACTCCCCTATTTGTGCCTCTGCTCCCAGACCCCTTCCTTTGATTAAAATATTTAAGTATTCTGTGTTCTAAAATACTCTCCCTTTCATATTTTAATTATTTGAGCTATTCTGTTTTTCTCTAATTCATTTCTAAGCTTTGTGGGGTTAAAGGAATTCTCACATAATGGCCCTGTCACTGATTCCACCATCTGGTGCCACAAGCAGCAGGCTTGCTGCTTCTCCGTATTCCTTTACTCCATGTAAGATGGCTTTGGTTCGCCACCCTTCAGAGCCTCCGGTGTCCAGTCCACCCTCCTCCCCTCTCTTCTCCTCCCTGTCCGCTCCCCTCCCCAAGACCCCCTGTATTACCACCGGCTCTGCCTCGTCTCAAATTTCTGTGCCTTGACTGCTTTGATTTGCTCCGGCTTTTCTTTCCTCTTGGGATTGTTTTCTGGGTCATCTTCCTGGTCAAATCATTGAAATTTCATTATTTTTATTTGAATATGGAAATTAGAAGTTTTATTAGAAATCATACTTTGGTTTTATTTTTTTTAGGTTTTTTTTTAATAGATTTATTTTTATTTATTTATTTACTTTTGGCTGCCTTGGGTCTTCGTTGCTGCGCGCAGGCTTTCTCTAGTTGCGGCGAGTGGGGGCTACTCTTCATTGCAGTGTGCGGGCTTCTCATTGCGGTGGCTTCTCGTTGCGGAGAGCGGGCTCTAGGCGCGCAGGCTTCAGTAGTTGTGGATCTCGAGCTCAGTTGTTGTTGCACACGGGCTCAGTAGTTGTGGCTCGCAGGCTCAGTAGTTGTGGTGCACAGGCTTAGCTGCTCTGTGGCATGTGGAATCTTCCCGGACCAGGGCTCGAACCCATGTCCCCTGCATTGGCAGGTGGATTCGTAACCACTCTGCCACCAGGGAAGTCCCATACTTTGGTTTTAATTTAAAATATATTTTTTTTCTCCTCTTAGCTTTTCCTAAAAGCTCCTGTGAACACTGCAGAACTAACAGATCTCTTAATTCAACAGAACCATATCGGGAGTGTGATTAAGGTAAGCAGGACAGTTGTGTTTATTCTGATTAAATTAGTTCTTTATCCTAAGTTCCTCCTGTTTTATAGCAAGTAGGCCAGAAACTCAAATTGGAAAGTATTACTGGTGAGAAGGCCATCTCAGCAATTCAGGGTTATTAAATGCAGTGATCTAGGTTGTGGCAGCGGATAGGGAGAG